GCGCCGGGGCCGCAAGGGTAGGCGACGGGGCCGCGAGGGCGGCTTGGAGGGGTCGTTAGGGCGGCTCGAAGAGGCCGCGAGGGCGGCGCGAAAGGGCCGCAAGGGCGGCGCGACGCGACGGGGCCGTGAGGGCGGCGGAACGGGGCCGCGTGGGCGGCGCGACGAGGCCGCGAGGGCGGCGCGACGTGATGGGGCCGCGAGGGCGGCGCGACGGGGTCGCAAGGGCGACTCGACGGGGCCGCTAGGGAGGCGCGACGCGACGGGGCTGCTAAGGGCGGCGCGACGGGGTCGTGAGAGGGGAGCGCGACTCGGGCAAAGGCTGAGCGCGCTCCGGGCAGGAAAAAAAAAACGGTGGGCCCTAGGAACAGTTCTCACAGGGGAACCTGCTCTGAACCATGTGAAATTGAACGAGAATGATTGAACTATGAAACAGTTGGGTACAAGTACTAACCCTAATTGGGTTGTACCCCTTATGGGCTACCCCACTACAGCCTACACAAAAGTATAAGCTATAATGTTCGGACATCCGTAGCGTGTTCGAAATGCGGTCTTAGGGCAGTCCGGTGGATTGACGCGAATCTGGTGGTAACCCCCGCGGAGATCGATTTTCGAGAAAACCCGCGCTGTGCGCAGTTGGTCGATCAGTTCGTCGGCTCGCGGGATGGGGTAACGGGATTTGATGGTAACCCTGTTCAATGCTCTGTAATCTATGCACATGCGAAATCCCCCGTCTTTTTTCGGTGTGAACAGTATCGGTGCTGCGAAGGGCGACGAACTAGGGCGAATGAATTCCTTCTCGAGCAGGTAATCGAGCTGCTTCCTCAGTTCGTCCAGTTCGGGCTGGGTCAGTCGGAACTGTCGCTGTACTGTTGGCTGTGCCCCCGGTTCTAACTCTATCCTGTGGTCGTGCGGTCACTGAGGTGGTAGTCCCGTCGGTAAATCGTCCGGGAAAATGTCGCTGTACTCCTTCAAGAGTGCTGCCAGGTCAGTCGGTACGTCGGCCAGTAGTTTCTGTAAATCCCCTCCTTTGTCTGCTGCCTCGGCTTCCCGAATGTCGACCGCGTACACGTCAGCTTCTGCCGCTACGGCGCGTTTCATCGTGATCGCGTTGACACGCACCGACGAAGACTCAGGTGAGCCCCAGCGAGGTAAGGCGATGTTGTTACCGTTCACTCGCACGGTGCCGTCACCCGTCGTCCAGTCGATTCGCGGAATGTGTCGTCACAACCAATCACGCCCGAGTAAAATATCGGTTCCGTCGAGGGTCGTGGCGAGCATTTCCTGGCTAAATGTGAGGTTACCCCCACATCGAATCCGAACCCAGTCTACGCATTCCCGTATCGCCAGCGGCGTGCCGTCTACCAGTCTTGCGTCGATCTCAGGTAAGCATCTGTCCAGTGGCAGTCGCAGTTTTGGTGCTGTGGCAGTGTTGATGAGGCTGTGGCTTGCTCCCCCGTCTACGAAGATTTTTACTAAGTCCGTCCCGATTTTCCCACTAAGTAGTATGTGTGAGAATGAACGAGAATGAATGCACTATGAAAGAGTTGGGTACAAGTACTAACTCTAATTGGGTTGTACCCCATATAGGCTACCCCACTACAGCCTACACAAAAGCATAAGCTATAATGTTCTGACACACCCCCATAGGCAAAGTGGGGGAGAACAAAGGGTCACAAGACCAGTCAAGCAAAGTAAAGCAAAGCAAGCTTAGGGTGGATCACAAAGTCACCACACATTCCGAGCACAAGGTCAAGGCCACAAGGCCAGGTCACATGCAGGAGTACATATATATATATAAAAGACTAGACAAGCAAGAGCAGGTGTATATATATATGTAACACTACAAGCAACGTCAAGAGGTGAGCAAGTGAGGCAAGGCAGGCACAAGACCCAGCTGAGTACAGAAGCGCTGATGATCACAAGGCGCAAGCGCCTTGGTGAAGATATCAGCAGTGTTGGCCTCAGAGGCCACGTACGCAAGACGCAAGTGACCACGCTGCTGTAGCTCACGAGCAAGGAAGTAGCGAAGAACAATGTGCTTCGTTCTGTGCTCCAGTCTCTGCTCTCGACACAACGCCAGCATGGCCTTGTTGTCTACGTACAGCACTGGAAGAGAACGAGGCGGCTCTCCGAGGTCATTCAGCAGGTAGGTGAGCCAGCGAAGCTCCTGTGCAGCCATGGCCTCGGCGTAGATTTCAGCCTTACAACAAGAGCCGAGAACAGAAGACGAGCGGGTAGCCCGCCACGAAACAGAGCCGGAACCAAGGCTAAAGGTGTAACCCTGTGACGACCGCTGCGTAGCCTGGTCGTCAGCCCAAGAAGCGTCTGCGTGCTCAGTGAGGACCACTGGACTTTGCCCTCCAAGCACAAGCCCCATGCCTGACGTACTACAGAACTAGCGCAACACTCTCTTCGCTGCAGCCATGTGCTCCGGTCTGTCTCTCGCAGGAGCAACATAGCGTGCGAGAATGCTAAGAGGGTATGCAAGGTCAGGTCGAGTGCAGGTCATCAGGTACATGAGGCAGCCAACAAGCTCTGGGTACGGGCCACTCGACTCTACGGACTCATCCGAAGGCAGAGCTGAGAGGAGTGGTCTGAGGCGAGGAGTACGTGAAGCCGAAGCGCTGAAGGACCTGCTGCAGCATGTGTGACTGAGTCAGGGTAATGGTGCGGCGTGCTCTGTCCCGGGTGATCTGCAAGCCAAGGTAGCTGCGCAGTTCACCCAGGTTTGTGCACGTGTGTCTCTTCTGCAGTTTGGACTTCACGTGGGCGAGTCCAGCAGTGTCAGCTGTGGCAAAGACCAAGTCGTCGACGTACACGAGGATGTACAACGGCGGCAAAGAAGTGTCGGTGCGCAGAAACAGCGACGGGTCGGCAGTAGAAGGAGCAAACCCAAGAATCGCAAGTATAGTCCTCAGTGTGTCGTGCCACTCACGCGGTGCCTGGCGGAGACCGTAGACTGGCCGCCGGAGGCTGCATTGGGTGCCAGGAGGAAAAGTCCCAGTGAAGCCAGGTGGGCGGCGCAGCCAGATCTCCTCGTGCAGGCTGCCCTGCAGGAAAGCTGTGTTGAAGTCAAGAGAGTAAAGCTCGTAGTCACGGTGAATAGCTATGTGCAGCAGTACCCAAAGAGTGGTCATCTTCGGGGTGGGAGAGAAGGTCTGAAAGTAGTCAACTCCCTGCCGCTGACTGAAGTCACGAGCCACGTAACGCGCCTTGAAGACAGGCGGAGAACCCGGCGGTCGCTTCACCCTGAAAATCCACATGCCACTGACGATGTTCGCCCCAGGCGGGGAAACCTCGTCAACGTAGGTGCTTGTGGACTTCCAGGAAGCCATCTCTGCGTCCATAGCTACCTGCCACTGAGAGGAGTAGGGACCCTCTATCGCCTCCGCGTAAGAGTGCGAAGTCGAGATGTCAAGTGCATCCGGGTCTCTCTCAGGGGTAAGCAGTATGGACACGAGATGAGGTGAAGCAGCAGCCAGACACTGGAACTCCTCATGTCTGTCCTCAAGGACGTCCGTGCCAAGGGCACACTCACCCCCGACGGACGGATGACAGACAGACTCAGACTCAGCAACAAGACTGGCGGCGTAGTCTAGGCGACAGCGACCAGCAAAGTCGACGAGCTCAGCAACTAGGGCAGACGCAGCAGTGGACTCAAAAGAAGGGTCAGTGACAACAGTAGCAAGGAGACGCGTGACAGTAGGACTGGCAGCACGAAGAGAGTCCGACTCCGGGTCGGCAAGAGCAGGAAGAGAAGACTCAGGAGAAGAAGGCAAAGGGGCACGCAGAGGAGCAGTGGACGGACGCAGAGACATCCGGTGCGTGCCAGGGACAGGAGGAGGACGCTGACGCGAACCGCGACCACTAGTGCGAGCAGCACGGACAGGCGACGCAGGGCGAGACGCAGGCTCACGACGCTCGGCAAGACCTCCAGTAGTACCAGTGTAGGGAGACGGAGCAGGCAGTGGGGAGGCCGACTGTAACTGTAACTGTGACGGGACAGGCTGTGGACACTCTAAGGGAGGAAGAGGACCAGTAGAAGGCGGGAGACCAAGAACCTGTTGAAGGAGCGGAACGAAGTACGGCCGAGGCCGCGCGGCGACTCCAGACACAGCAGGGACAGCACCTGTACCCCCAGCGGCAGCACCAGCGCCAGCAGCACCTCCAGCTCCAGTACCTCCTGCAGCACCAGTAGCACCCCCAGCAGGACCGCCTCCAGGACCGACAGCAGTAGCCTCCGCGCCAACACCCGCAGCAGCTCCAACTCCATAAGTACCCGCAGGCCCAGCTGCTCCAGTACTCCCAGTACGAGCACCTCCGGGACCCGCGGCACCAGCACCATCAGCAGCAGTAGAACCTCCAGTACCCGCAGCACCTCCAGCTCCAGCAGCTCGCCTCTAGCGCCGGGTAAATCACTCACGCAACTCCTGTGGAGAGAGTGGCTCCCAGCGAGACGAGGCACCCGGAGAACCGCCAGGCTCAGCACCGCCAGACGCTACACGAGCAGGCCCAGCTCCCTAAGGCTCAGCACCTCCAAGCGTAACAGCTCCAGGCTCAACACCTCCAAGCTCAGCACCTCTAGGCTCGGCACCCCCAGGCTCAGCACTCCCAGGCTCAACACCCCCAGGCTCAACGCCCCAGGCTCAACACCCCCAGCCTCAACACCCCCAGCCTCAACACCAGCACCTTTTCTCGAAATCATTGAAGATCAATACTTTATTAGCACAATAATACATGGCAGAGTGAGATTCATCATGTGGATTGCAGGAACTTGTGAGCATTCTACAATGCATGCCTTGCACGCCACACAGCCAGGCAACCGTCAGACAATCCCCTAGGCCACATGATAAAACACACCACTGCCGTAACACAACTAACCACACAACTAAAAATTAAAGCTAGCACAGGACTTGTGTTTGATGAAGGTTGCTTGCTAGATCTGACAGAAGAGAAGGAGCAGCGAATAATATATGAAATGCGCTTGCATGTGACGCGCCCTAATTGGCCCACACGCCGAAGAATTCCGCATCACCGGAAGCAGCAATCTGCGACGCATCAAACGCATCGAAATCATCAAGCATGTCGCGGAAGATGTTGTCCGTGTTATCGATCGGCGCCAGGTCCGCAAGCAGCGAGTTCAGGCACTCCGCGTCCTCCTCGCTGCTCGTCTCGCTCTCAGTCGCCTCCAGCTTCACTCCGCCCATTGCGTGCGACGGCTCCAACTCCGGAATAAACGCAGGCGACGCAGGCGCAGCGGGGGAAACGGGGGATGAGGGCGAGGCGGGGGACAATGGGAGGGAAAGGCCGGCGGTGTGGATGGCCTGACCCTGCAGGGATTTCTCGAGCGCATCGGCGATTTCTGACGTGTCGAACATCTTTGCGGCCTCGCGGCTCGCCTTCAGCAGAGTCTCGGCGGTAGCGGGCGGCAGCGGAACCAGCTGGAAACTGCCGGGGAAGTTCAGCGAGGCCTTGGATCCGCGGAGCAGGCGCGCGGCGACGTCGTAAGCGCGGGCGGCATCCTCAGGTGAGTCGAAGGAGCCAAGCCAAATGCGCGTGCGCTTGCGGGGCTCGCGGATTTCCGAAACCCACTTCCCCCACTTGCGCTGGCGCACGCCCTTGTAGCGCGGGCCCTGGTCGCGCGCCGCGTTGCACACGACAACTTCAGAGTCGGAATCCTTGTCTTCCTCCTCCGACGACCACGTGGCAGCGTCGAGAGAAGTCGGCTCCTGCTTGGCGCGCTTTCCGCGGACAGACTTGGCGGAGTCGCCACCACGGGAGCGCTTACCCGCGAAGACCTTCTCGAGAATAGGCAGCGACGACGGATGGGAACCCTCGGAAGATGCGGGGGATGGCGCGAAGGATGTTGCCGCAGATGGTGCCGGAGAGGGCGCGTCGTGCGCGATGAGCGGATGCGGCGCGGGGAGGGGGGCGGAAACGGGAGCCTGGGAGAGAGCGTTGAGAGCGGGGACGGCGAACGAGAGGGAGGACTGAAGCTGGTGGAGGGTGTCGACCTGCTGGCGCTGCTGCTGCTGCTGTTGTTGCTTCATGGCGCGCTGGTTCTGGCTGACGGCGTCGACGAGGCGCACGAGCCCCATTATCGCATTCTGCGCCGCGAGAAGAGCATTGCCGAGAGCCGCCTCGCCGTCAACAGGGGGGTCGACGAGGGGAGAGACGGGGGAGGAGAGAGGAAACGACTGCTGCTGCTGGTACTGCTGCTGATACTGGAAGTACATTTTTCAGAAGAAATTGAAGGAATCGAGAACCAGGGTTGAGATAATGAAGTCGAACAGAGCTTGAGAGAAAGGATTGAAGAGAGCTGCGGAGTCGCAGTGAGAGGAAAAGGGAGCTGCTTCAGGGGCTTCTGAAAGGAGGCTGGAGGAATATATTTCAAGAAGTCTTGAGAGAGAGCTTTTAGAAGAGAGGTATTGGAAGTCTGGATTCAAAGAGAAGGGGGTGTAAGAGGATCGTTAGGGAAGTAAGGAGGCAAGTCGTAGCCTACTTACTCCGCTAAAAGGACATCTCCTGCCTGGCGGCGGAGAGATGTCAGTTTAGCAGAGAAGAGGAACGAAACGCGAACTCGACTAAGGGAACAAAACCGCAGAGCGGCGCAGGATCGCACTATCAGAACGCTTTTAGAGAGCAGTTGTAAGCTTTGGTAAGTGAGCACTGGAAAATGAAATGACAAGAGAAGCTGATATAATTGTTCAGCAAGAGGGGCCGATGGGGGCAAGGAACAATCGTTTGCTGGAGGAGGAAGTGGTTGGACGGTATGGGCGGAGCGGGAGGGGAGATGTGCGCAGCTTGAGGGGATGTGCGGATCGGCATTCGGGACGGGTTCTGGGGGGAGCAGCCCCGCGGGATGAAAGAGATGGCGGGAAAGTGGAAGGGTGGATGGATGGAGAGGGCGGGAGGGAGGGAGGGAGGGGAGGTGAACGGGGGAAGTGAGTGAGGGAAGAGAAGCTACGAGGAAGGGAAGCTCAACTGAAACCCCGACGCTTTTGGCACCAAGAATTTCGCCGATGATTGCGGGCAGGGGGACCTGTTGCAGAGGCTCTGCGCGCCCAACTTTTCCAGAAGGCTCATCAAGATGCGGTCGATGTTGAACTGGCATCACGGGGGAAGACGCCCGTGCAGATCTTGTAGAACTTGGAGAGGGGGGGAACGTGCGCTGCGCTTGGGACCACGAGATTGCGCCCCCCGCCATCTCCGGTTCAGAATGGCGCTCCGCGAAGCAAGTTCAGCAGCGCGGCTGAAGCGGGTCAATCTGACGTGAGCCCGCGACGCGAGTCTGCAATGTGGGCTGCTTGGAGCAAAGCGTCACGTGAGTGATGCAAGCAGGCCACCTCACCAACAAAACAAACCAGAATCGAGGGGTTGGTGCAAGAAAACTGCATGTAGGCAGTACATGTCGACACTTAACGGAACACAGGGTGTGAAGGCAAGCCTGCGAGCATCCATAACTAACAAGTCAGAGAACTTCTAAATAACGGCAAGCTGTAACTGAGGGGAACATTCCCCTATGTCCCTAAGCCCACTGGCCCAGATGAATCCAAAAGGCGCAAGTTGGGTTTACAATCTATCCAGCTGTGTTAGTGACGGCGGGGCAGAAAAAAATTCGATTGAGTGACACCCGCTTGAAGCATATAGCTCTGAAGTTGTTAAGCCAATGAGACACGTATAACATTAGATGCATACAGGCAGCAGCCAAACAGCTTAAATCAAGGAATTTAATGCACAACATTGTTTGAAAGCATTTCTCTGTCTCATTTTGAATCGCTAAATATGGAGTCAACAACTGTAACAGCCGCCGCCCTAGCTGCAATATCGCCTGACATGGCATGCTCCTCAAAGTACCTCATCAGCCCTTGAAGCTTGCCTCCTGACCTAAATCTGGACAAAGGAGCCAAAACGAAAAATGTGCGCGTTGACCACGTGAAAACATGGTCAGAAGATAAGCATAACGGAACATAAAAACAACACATTGTAAATATGGGAAAAAACATCAATGGGACTCACTTGTACAGTATTTCTGCCTCCACGGTGCTCCACAGCAGTGCCTTGTTCTGAGCGCCCCTCAGCTGTTGCAGTTCACCAGACGAGCGCATGGCTTCCTGGAACTTGCCTATCTTCTTCCACACGTCCTCTATGCCCAGCCCTGTGCGCGTGCTGCATGCCACTACCTGCAGGGCCAAGGGGGCAGTCATGGAGAAGGGTGTGAGGTTGTACAGGAGCAAGCTGAAGCATGGAGAGCAGCATGCATGGGTGGAGCTTGAATGAAACAACTGAGACATTTCAACACGTGGTCTCACCGGGGTCATCCAGATGTTGTCGGCTCAATTCATCCGGAGTCTGCTTTGAAAAACTGGAACATCCCACCAACACAAGCTATCTCACCGGGGTCATCCAGAAGTCATAGCGTGGGTGCACAAAGTGCAGCGCGTTGCTGTACTCGCCCACTGCTGCCAGCGCCGCCCCCTCCATTGCGCCATCCGCCTTGTTCACCACCACCAGGTCGGCAATCTCCACCACTCCTGGATACGATTAGGACGGGAACAGGGAGGATGGGAGGGGCGGGCACAGGTGTGTGTGCCATTACTGCCAGCACTGCCAGCGCCGCCCCCTCCGTGGCACCGCCTGCCTTGTTCACCACCACCAGGTCCGATATCTCCACCACTCCTGCACATGAGTAGCAGGAGCGAGTGCCAGGAGAGAAGGGAACGGAGACGATGGGAGGGGCGGGCACAGTTGATGCGCAGTTGTGTGTGCCAGCGCTGCCAGTGCTGTACCCTCCATGGCACCGTCCGCCTTGTTCACCACCACCAGATCAGCCATCTCCACCACTCCTGCCCGAGGGCAATGAGGAGAGGAGAGGAAGGGAGGAAGGGAGGAAGGGGGAGAGAGTGCAAAGGCACAGCTGATGGCAGTTGTCGGGAGAGGGTCTGGAACGATGATGGCAGTTGTCGGGAGAGGGTCTGGAACGATGATGGCAGTTGTCGGGAGAGGGTGTGGAACGATGATGGCAGCTGAGGAAGGGGGAGAGGGTGTGGAACGATGATGGCAGCTGAGGAAGGGGGAGAGGGTGTGGAACGATGATGGCAGCTGAGGAAGGGGGAGAGGGTGTGGAACGATGATGGCAGCTGAGGAAGGGGGAGAGGGTGTGGAACGATGATGGCAGCTGAGGAAGGGGGAGAGGGTGTGGAACGATGATGGCAGCTGAGGAAGGGGGAGAGGGTGTGGAACGATGATGGCAGCTGAGGAAGGGGGAGAGGGTGTGGAACGATGATGGCAGCTGAGGAAGGGGGAGAGGGTGTGGAACGATGATGGCAGCTGAGGAAGGGGGAGAGGGTGTGGAACGATGATGGCAGCTGAGGAAGGGGGAGAGGGTGTGGAACGATGATGGCAGCTGAGGAAGGGGGAGAGGGTGTGGAACGATGATGGCAGCTGAGGAAGGGGGAGAGGGTGTGGGACGATGATGGCAGCTGAGGAAGGGGGAGAGGGTGTGGAACGATGATGGCAGCTGAGGAAGGGGGAGAGGGTGTGGGACGATGATGGCAGCTGAGGAAGGGGGAGAGGGTGTGGAACGATGATGGCAGCTGAGGAAGGGGGAGAGGGTGTGGAACGATGATGGCAGCTGAGGAAGGGGGAGAGGGTGTGGAACGATGATGGCAGCTGAGGAAGGGGGAGAGGGTGTGGAACGATGATGGCAGCTGAGGAAGGGGGAGAGGGTGTGGAACGATGATGGCAGCTGAGGAAGGGGGAGAGGGTGTGGAACGATGATGGCAGCTGAGGAAGGGGGAGAGGGTGTGGAACGATGATGGCAGCTGAGGAAGGGGGAGAGGGTGTGGAACGATGATGGCAGCTGAGGAAGGGGGAGAGGGTGTGGAACGATGATGGCAGCTGAGGAAGGGGGAGAGGGTGTGGAACGATGATGGCAGCTGAGGAAGGGGGAGAGGGTGTGGAACGATGATGGCAGCTGAGGAAGGGGGAGAGGGTGTGGAACGATGATGGCAGCTGAGGAAGGGGGAGAGGGTGTGGAACGATGATGGCAGCTGAGGAAGGGGGAGAGGGTGTGGAACGATGATGGCAGCTGAGGAAGGGGGAGAGGGTGTGGAACGATGATGGCAGCTGAGGAAGGGGGAGAGGGTGTGGAACGATGATGGCAGCTGAGGAAGGGGGAGAGGGTGCGGAACGATGATGGCAGCTGAGGAAGGGGGAGAGGGTGTGGAACGATGATGGCAGCTGAGGAAGGGGGAGAGGGTGTGGAACGATGATGGCAGCTGAGGAAGGGGGAGAGGGTGTGGAACGATGATGGCAGCTGAGGAAGGGGGAGAGGGTGTGGAACGATGATGGCAGCTGAGGAAGGGGGAGAGGGTGTGGAACGATGATGGCAGCTGAGGAAGGGGGAGAGGGTGTGGAACGATGATGGCAGCTGAGGAAGGGGGAGAGGGTGTGGAACGATGATGGCAGCTGAGGAAGGGGGAGAGGGTGTGGAACGATGATGGCAGCTGAGGAAGGGGGAGAGGGTGTGGGACGATGATGGCAGCTGAGGAAGGGGGAGAGGGTGTGGAACGATGATGGCAGCTGAGGAAGGGGGAGAGGGTGTGGAACGATGATGGCAGCTGAGGAAGGGGGAGAGGGTGTGGAACGATGATGGCAGCTGAGGAAGGGGGAGAGGGTGTGGAACGATGATGGCAGCTGAGGAAGGGGGAGAGGGTGTGGAACGATGATGGCAGCTGAGGAAGGGGGAGAGGGTGTGGAACGATGATGGCAGCTGAGGAAGGGGGAGAGGGTGTGGAACGATGATGGCAGCTGAGGAAGGGGGAGAGGGTGTGGGACGATGATGGCAGCTGAGGAAGGGGGAGAGGGTGTGGAACGATGATGGCAGCTGAGGAAGGGGGAGAGGGTGTGGAACGATGATGGCAGCTGAGGAAGGGGGAGAGGGTGTGGAACGATGATGGCAGCTGAGGAAGGGGGAGAGGGTGTGGAACGATGATGGCAGCTGAGGAAGGGGGAGAGGGTGTGGAACGATGATGGCAGCTGAGGAAGGGGGAGAGGGTGTGGGACGAGCCCCTCTCTTTTGAGGCGCCTCAAAAGGGGGAGAGGGTGTGGAACGAGCCCCTCCATGGCGCCGTTTGCCTTGTTCACCACCACCTCCACCACTACTCTACTGCACAGTGAAAGGGAATGAATGAACGGCACTGCACCGTGCTGCACTGCACTGCACAGCTCTTTCTCCACCCTTTTTCTATGCCCTGTTCCTCGTCGCCCCCAGTGGGTGGCACCAGCAGCACCATGTCAACGACATGCGCCTCCGCTCCTTCCCCACGCCCCCCCCCCCCCCCCCCCCTCTCACTGCACTGCACTGCACCGCACTGTACTACACACCTTTCTTGATGCCCTGCAGCTCGTCGCCCCCAGCGGGCGGCAGCAACAGCAGCACCATGTCTGTGATCTGCGCCACTGCCACGTCAGCCTGCCCGCCCCCCACCGTCTCCACCAGTAGCACGTCACACCCACTCGCCTGCACATGAGAAGAGTGGAGGAGGGTGTAGAAGGGGGGGGCGTGGGTGTATGGATGGAGGGGCATGGCAGAGCGGTATCAGCAGCACTCTGGAGTGTTGTTGATCAGCACCACCACACCACACCACATTGAATCTCCCCACACCATCTCCACACCACGACATCGCACCCACGAGCCTGGACATAGGGAGGAGGGGAAGAGCTCAGCTCACAACACACACACTCTCCACCTCGCACCCACTGCCTGAATACCCACCCCGTTTTCGCTCCCTCTCCCCCACTCCCGCCCCCTCCCTTTTCCACTCAACCTCCCCCTTCCCCTTCCCCTCCCCCCCCCCCCTCCCGCTCCCCATCCCCCCACCTCGCACAGCAGGGCGGCGTCAGCAGTGTTGCGCGCGAGCCCGCCCACCTCCTTCTCCTCTTCCCCCCCTTTCACCTCCCCATCCCCCCCCAACCCACCTCGCACAGCAGCGCGGCGTCAGCAGTGTTGCGCGCGAGGCCCCCCACCTCTCCGCGCGAGGGCGTGGGGCGGATGAACGCGGAGGGGTGCGCGGAGAGGCGCTCCATGCGCGTCTTGTCTCCCAGAATGGACCCCCCGCTGCTGTGTGACGATGGGTCGATGGCCAATACTGCCACTCGCCTGTCGTCCTGAACGGCGTGCATGCCCAGGCCTGGGGGCAGGTTTGGAGAAAGGGATGGGGGGAGTGAGATGGACCCTCCCCTGCTGTGCGGTGACGGGTCGATGGCCAGCACGGCTACTCGCCTGTCGTTCTCCACCGCGTGCATGCCCAGGCCTGGGAAATGGGGGTAGGGAAGAGGGGGAGTTGGGAGGGGAGGGGAGGGGAGAGGGAGAGGCGCTCCATGCGCGTCTTGTCGCCCAGGATCGACCCCCCGCTGCTGTGTGACGATGGGTCGATGGCTAGTACGGCTACTCGCCTGTCGTCCTGAACCGCGTGCATGGCCAGGCCTGGGAGCAGGTTGGGGAAAAGGGAGGGGGAATGTGCGATAGACCCCCCCGTGCTGTGCGATGACGGGTCGATGGATAACACGGGTACTCGGCTGCTGTCCTCAACTGCGTGCACGTGCAGGCCTGGAGGAATCGGGGATATGGGGAGACGGCAGAGGGGAGAGGGGGAATCTCGCTAGCACGCGGTCGAGGACGACAGGCGCCCAATCATCCGCCCACACCCACGTTTGCTCAGAGACGACTTGCCCACGCTGGATGAATTTTCAGTCGACTAGAAAGTCTACTTCTCCTATATCTTTTCCCCCTCTCTCTCTGCCGCGTCTGATCCTATACTCCTCATCCCCAGCAGACGCACGTTCGATCAGCGACGATTTCCCCGCGCCGGGCGGCCCCGTGATTCCGATCTTGAAGATTCCATCCCTAGCCTTCCCCGCCTGCGCCTTCCGCGCGCGCACCGCCTCCAGCACGTGCTGCAGCAGCGCCGCGGCCTGCGGGCGGTGCGACTCGCGCACGGACTCGCAGAGCGTGATCGCGCGGCTCAGCGCGTGCAGATTGCCGTCCAGAACGTCCTGCGCGAGCCGCGCGAATTTCGGTTCGAGCGGCGGGAGATGGAGCTTCGGATTGGAGGCGAAGGTGCGGGAAAAGGAGGCGGGCGGAGCGGGAGATGCGGGGGATGCTGGAGATGCAGGGGAGTGGGTGTTGGTGAGAGCGGAGTGAATTGCGGCGGGATTGGCGCAGGGCGTGGCCCGCCCTCCGCGCCGGGTGACGCGGAGGGCGCTGGAGGCGCATCGAGAAGCGGCGGTTCGCCACATGGCTGCGGCGAAGGACATGTAAGGACTGCCGTCGCCGCTCCTCGTGTGTGTGTACCTACCTGACCTGCTGCGAGCACCTTCCGATAGATGTTATGGGTGATGGGGGTGCTATATTTACGAAGTTCAGACGAATTCGTTTCGGTCAACGCCTGCATTGGAGAGATCGAGGCCAATTGTAACGAATTGCGAGGCACGAGATGAATCGATGCTGATTGGTCGCAGGTGCGTGTCCCTCGGTTGGATCTTTCCTGCTCGATGGCTGAGAGAGCTGCCACGTGCACTGCCGCTTCCCTGATTCATGGGCTCAGAGATCTCTCCGCTATTGAGCACACGGAACCCCCAGACACTTACCGTATAAACTGCTTTCTAAATATAGAAACTATTGTCATCACGTTTGGATAAGCACGCTGCGGCTAATTTCAGCAGCCTTGGCGGCTCTTTGTGCTACTCTCTCATAGTCCCGGCTTCTGAGGTCCTCCTTTTGAAAAATGGCTTCAGACAGAACAACAGCAACGGCCCCAGCTTCCAGATACCCCTGGATCATGTCTGCAGAGCACAGAGCGGAAATGCATTCATACGTATATAAGAGGCAACGCAAATATATTGGTATGCGAAGCAACTGTAAACCAATAATTCGAGCATCAACTCACCCATCTGAATGCCATGTGCCGGCACTATCCCGATGGAGGGCACTGCTCGGTGCATGGCCCTCACCAGTGCCTGCCCCCCTGCATAGGGCGCTGGGAATAGCTGATGGGAGGAGGGAGGATGGGTGAGGGGAGAGAGAGGATGGGTGACGAGAGGGTGGGTTGGAATAGCAGTGAGAATGAGAGGCGTGGATAGTGGCACTGCCGCAATGGACATGGCACCACTCGATGCATGGCATGTGATGGGCAGGAAATCAGTTAACATCACATTGCTGCATGGCATGGTGTGGCACACGAAACAGCACGGCATGGTGTGGCATGGCATGGCATGGCATTGGACGGCACAGGATCTCCCCACCTTGACCAGGGGAGCTCCAAGGCGCGACGCTGAGAGGATCTGAGGGAGCAATGGGGCAGCAGAGTATGTGGGAGAGGGGAGACGAGGAGGAGAGCACAGTAACAGTGTGAGTGAGTGAGACAGGGAAAGGGCACCATGAGCACAGCACAGGCAGGCACGAATGATACAATTCATGCGCAGTGGGCTGAGTGCATGTGCCTCAGGGACGGCATACCTCGGTGGGAGTCATGGCACCGGGTATGAAGACCATGGGACCTGCTGCATGTGCTGCCACTATATCCTGCCGGGGGTGATGGAGTGTGCGACATGCACAATGCACATAGCATGAGATGTGCATATGGGATGAGACACGCGAACACAACGGACAGGAATCCAAAAGGCACCATGAGACGGAAATACCGCAGTAAAGGCATGCGCTCATGGAACCATGACATGGCGTGAGCAGGTGGCACCATGACATGGCACATACCGCATCAGTGGCAGGGCTCATGAGGAAGCGAGCACCAGCACGTTGAGCTGCCATGGCGTCTTGCATTGAGAGAACTGTGCCCGCCTGTGGTAGGCAGGGGGGGCACATGGTGGGTGGCAGCATGGCACTGATGGGCGCATGGGAGCTAAGATGACGTGAGGGAGAGGAGGGGCACACAGCATGAGCGTTGTGGGAAGGGCATGGGGGCATGAGGAGCACGAGGGTGTGCAGAAGGCTGCATGGAGCATGGTGGTGAGGCGAAGAGAGGAGGTCTACATGCTGTGTGCGGTACACTCACGCACTCACTCACCCCTATGGTGGCATGTGGGAACTCCGTGACTAGTGATGCAATGACCTGCAGGGAGGGGGAGGGGTATGAGAGGGGTGAGAGAGAGGCGTGGGAGGAGGGCAGGGGTGAGAGCGATAGATATAGGCAGGGAGAAGGGGACATGTGCGAGGGAGAGAGAGAGAGCAGATGTATCTCACATTTAAGCAGGTAGAAGGGGACATGTGCATGTGCACACCACACCACACCACACCGCACCACACAGCACTGCAAACCATGCGCGCACCTGGAAAGCGCCAGGGGTTGTGCATGTGACCTCAAGCTGCCGGGAAGGGGAGGAAGGGGAGGGGAATGCAGGTGAGTGGGGGCGCGGCACGACAATGGAGCATCACGTAAGGGACCGTGCAGGGAGGTTGGGTCAGGGAAGTGAGATCGAATGCTGGTCTGGGAAATGGCACACGGGTGGTGCTGGGCGGCAGATGTGTGTAGAAGAGACGGCAGGCATGGTGTGGGTGGGGAGGCGGCGACTCACTACTCGGATCCCCGCGGAGAGCGCAGCACGAGAAGCGGAGAGCGCCACGTCAGCACTGCATCAGCAGGGCGAGGGGATGGCATGAGTGGGGCAGAGGAGAGCGCACGGGTGATGTGGATGGGGGGATACAATCGATGGGTGGTTGTGACCCATGGCGCGGTGTGAACAGCTGAACAACTGGAGCGTTGCTGTTGATGGTCGCCTCCCCAACGATAAGTGCTTGCAAGCCATGGCATTGCTGGCCATCCAACTCCTGCTGCATTGCTGTGCCACTGACCCTCCCTCACTCTGCTACTACTCATCACTCGCCCTCGCGCTCACTCCCTCTCCCCGCACTGGCCACTCGCTCTGGCCCTCTTCCCCCCTCCCCCTCTGTCGCATCCAACTTTTCTCCCACTTCCCCCGCGGCGCGCACCTGTCGGCGCGCACGCACGCCACGATCCCCGACGCCGCGATTGCCGCCACTGTCTGCTGCCGCCTATCAGCATCGGACACGTGGCCCGTCGCACCGTCGCTCCGCACGGCTGCCTCGGTGACGTCAGGAGTTGGTGACAACTGGATGCCACTGGAGCGGCCGTTTACTACGTGGCACCGGACGGACGCGTGGTGCTGACTGCGTGCTGGCGTGGCATTGCACGAGGACGTGGCTACGCTGGTGGCGCTCATGGTTTTTGCACCCTCGGAGATCGCACGCGGCGGGAAGGGGTTACGCGGGGAGACGCATGGCGGGGAGGAAAGCCGCGCGACCCGCGCGCAGGAGGCGGAGAATGCCGCGGTTTCCATACTACGACCCCGCTAGCTACAGCAGAAGACGAGGGAAGAGTGATGCGCGGACAAAAACGACGAGTTGTGGGGAGGTGTAAACGGAGTTGACAGGTTATGGCGGCAGAAAGAAACGCGAAGGATATGGGGGTGTGAGGGTGGAGAGAGAACAGAATCCCGAATTCAGCGGATGAGAAAAACCTCACAGCCAGATGAACAGGTTCACGTCATGAAGTTCGGTTTGAAATTGTGAAAGCTAGGTCTGCGCATACACTTGTTTTGCCATTCCCACAGCTATAATACTATCGAGTTCGTCTCGAATTTAAATTTCTTCCGTCCAGTCAAGGTACAAACCGTCTTTGAACGTGTGCCACCGTACTTAACCGTATTAACTGTAATGAGCGCCTTCATCGGGGAAGTACACGGCCAGAAGCCTCGCCGCCGCCCTGCCACGCCACCAATCGAGTGCTTGCTTGCTCCCCCGCGTCCTTGAATCTGCGGCCAGGAGCAAACGCAAGGCTGCATCTGTCCCATCCCATCCCATCACACAAACACGTGGGAGAGCTTGAAGAGATACATTTCTCTCTCTTGTGGGCATTATCTGTCAGGCGCAGCTGCTTTCCTCCCTTGCAGTCCACCCCGTACGGCAGCCCCAGCATCGCAGCGCCTCGCCTCCTTCCCACTCGCTTTCCAAGCGCCTCGCTCTGCCTCTCTCTGTGCTTTGCGCTGCCCTCACTTCTGTCTCTCTGGTTTCGGAAGAAAGAAAACCCAGGAAATCCCTGCATCTCTGCTTTTGTCCTCCGCTACGCGAGCCATGACCGCCGCACTCTCCCCCTCCCTGGCTCTCGCGCGCTCGTCTCAACTCCGCGCTGCCCTTTGTTTCCGTCCCGGTCACAATACATGGCGGCCACTTATCCAAAGTAGTCCACTCGCGCCGCAATCTACGGCCCGTGATTGCCGGTTGTGGAAGCAATCGCGACGCGCAATGGCGACAGCGGCGGCTGCGGCGGGGGATGCGTCAGGCGTGCAGACGTCAGTGAGTGCCGGCCGGAATGGCGCCACCAGCACCGCCGTCGGCCCGGACGTGACGGAAACCGGCAAGTCTGCCGGCCGCGAGCGGACGGTGCGGCTAACGTCACGCGGGATCGTGTGGACGGACGACGAGGTAGAGCGCGTGCTGACGGACGCGCGGAAGCGCATCGGGCCGCGCCACGTGGACATGATGACGTGGCGGCGCGCGATCCACGCGTATCCTGAGCTGGCGTTTGAGGAGGAGCGGACGGCTGAGATGGTGGCGGGATTGCTGGCGGAGTGGGGGTATGACGTGGACAGGAGCCTCGGGAGTACCGGCGTGGTGGGGACGCTGACAGTGGGGGAAGGGGGCAGCGCGGAGGGCGGAGAGGCGGAGGAGCTTCCGCCGGCCATCATGCTGAGGTGCGTTATAGCGAGGATGGTGGAGTGTCGCGTGGGAGGTGCGGTGGGGCTATCAGCTGTGCGCGCATCGTGGAAACACCCTGTGGGGAAGACATGGGAGAGGAATAGAGACCTGCATTGTCCTATAGTTGCGCCATGCTCACTTACCGCACACTTCCTTTCCTATGCACTTCCCTTGGTGGCCATGTGAACTCCTCCTCCTCTCTGCTCCTCGCCCCTACACTTCCTATTCTCCGCCGAATGCCCGCCCCTCCTTCCCCACTTCCACACGTCCCCCCTGTGCGAGCGCGCAGGGCGGACATGGATGCGCTCCCCATGGAGGAGGGCAACGCGTTTGAGCACCGCTCACAACGCCGCAGCACCATGCACGCATGCGGGCACGACGGTGAGACGCGCATGCGTGTGCATGCATGATTGTTGAGGCGCCATGCCCATGCCATGCCATTTATGCCCACGTGGCACAATGCGCGCATGAGATTGTCTTCCCTTACCTGCTGCATGCATTACCCCTTCTCCAGCCGCCACTCACTCTGCTGTTCCCCGCTCCCTCCTTCCCCTCCTCCCACCCCCCCACCACCAGGCCACACGGCCATGCTGCTGGGAGCAGTGCGTTACCTGGCGGAGCACCGCCCCTTCCGGGGGTGCATCCTCGTGGTGTTCCAACCCGCCGAGGAGGGCACGCCCCCACACAATCATCAACCTGCCAAACCTTATGCCCACGCTCACTGACACACAACTGCCTGCCCTTCTCCTTTCCTCCTCATTCCCCTCCCTACTCTTCCCCCCCACCCTCCGTCTGCCCACGCTTCACGGGCCACGTGGCCATGCTGCTGGGAGCAGTGCGCTACCTGGCGGAGCACCGCCTCTTCAGAGGGCGCATCCACGTGGTCTTCCAACCCGCCAAGGAGGGCACGCCCACTGGCAAATCCTGTTCGCCCCTGCTGCCCCTCCACCCCTCCAACCTCATACGGGCCACGCGGCCATGCTGCTGGGAGCAGCGCGCCATCTAGCCGAGCACCGCCTCTTCCGGGGGTGCATCCACGTGGTGTTGCAACCGGGCGAGGAGGGCCCGCGTGCACACAAGCACCCGTAAACCCACGCGCACTGGCAAGCCAGATCCCCAACCCCACTAACCAGTCAACTGCCGTCCCTTGTCCTTCCTTTCCCCCTCAGGCCACACGGCCATGCTGCTGGGAGCAGCTAGATATTTAGCCCAGCACCGCCCCTTCCGTGGTCAAATTCACGTGGTGTTCCAACCCGCTGAAGAGGGCACGCCCACAGAGAACCAATACGGACGGGAGGGCGGGGGCGCGCTGGCCATGCTGGAAGATGGGCTGCTGGAGAAATACCCCGTGCGTGCGGCATTCGGCATGCACAACTGGTAATGGATGGGGTGCTGATGGTAAGGGTGGTGATGGCAGGGCATAGATGACTGGTAACAGGATATGGATAAGTGGTACAGGCATTGGCGTTGCTGCCTTACGCACTGCTAACTTGCTTTCGCGACCGTTCACCCATTGCAACCCCTTGTCATCCCTCGCTCCCGCCCCTGCAGGCCAGGACCAGTGATGGCGGGGGTGGACAACTTTCACATCACTGTGGGGGTTACAGGCTGCCATGGAGCACCAAACGTCTACCCAATCTTACACCTTGTCCCTGCCCATCCAGGCCAGGACTGCCGGTGGGGCGGTTTGCAGTCCATTCAGGGCCTGTGATGGCGGGAGTGGACAACTTTCACATCACGGTGGGGGGCACGGGCTGCCATGCCGCCATGCCTCATCTGGGAGGGGGCAGTGACCCCGTGCTGGCTGCTGCTAACCTCGTCACCAACCTGCAGGTACGCGTGTGAGGGCGTATGTGCATGGGTGAGCATGGGTGTGAGTGTGTGCATGTGGAGGGGGTCTTTCCATGGTGGGTAGTTTCAAAAATCACCTGGGAGGGGACAGTGACCCCGTGCTCGCTGCTGCTGCTCTGGTTACCAACCGGCAGGTGCGTGTGCGCTGGTTACCAACCGGCAGGTGCGTGTGCGCTGGTTACCAACCGGCAGGTGCGTGTGCGCTGGTTACCAACCGGCAGGTGCGTGTGCGCTGGTTACCAACCGGCAGGTGCATGTGTTGGGGCTCCTGAGAAGCTCATCGCAGTGCGGAAGACAGTGGGGTCATGGCAGGTGCGCCTGCAGCCCTTTTGTGTACCAAGTGCGGTTCTCACTCCCTTCCCACAATCCCCCACACTCCCTGCGCTTCTCTCTTGCGTGCCCTCCCATGCAGGCGTTGGTGAGCAGGGTGGTGGACCCACATGACAGTGCGGTGGTGAGCGTGACGCAGATACATACCCGAACTCTACTGCTCTCCCCTACCTTTCCCCTTCCCCTTCTCCCAACACACCATACAGGCGTTTGTGAGCAGGGTGGTGGATCCACACGACAGTGCCGTGGTGACCGTGACGCAAATACATACCCAAGCGAGATATGCTATTCCTCCCCCTCCCCCACACCCCCCACACCCCCCGACCCCCCACACCGTCCCCATGCTCTTATGTGCAGGCATTGGTGAGCAGGGTGGTGGATCCACATGACAGTGCGGTGGTGAGCGTGACGCAGATACACGCTGGGGACGCCTTCAACGTCATCCCTCCCTCCGTCAGTGCCTCTCTCCCTTCTCCCTTCCCCACGCCGCCCATGCTCATGCATACATGCATGCCTTCCTGCACTGAGTGCTGTGCTCCTATCATGCCAGTCACCTGTCCCCTGCATGAATCCTCACGAGTGATCTAGAATCTCATGAGAAATTCCAATGATCATGCCAGCCACCTGTTGCTAGCTAGCATGTATCTGTACCGCTTTCGCGCTCATCATAGATGAAGGTTGGCCACAAGTGCAGTGTCTGGCCAGCTGTGAAATCAAATTTGCCTGCCACTCTAAAAGCAACATAACCCGATGTTGCGCACACATCTCTCTGCCCCTCCGTTCCGGTCCTCTCCCCTCCTCTCGCCTCCGCTCCCCTCGTCCCATGGCGGCATGGCAGGCGGAGGTGAAGGGAACGCTGAGGACGTACCGGGGGGAGACGAGGGAGGCGATGATGCGAGGGATAGAGCGCATGGCGCATGGGGTCACTGCTGCTCATGGTGAGAGGGGCAGAGAGGAGAGAGCAGGGGAGGGAGAGAGGAGAGAACAAAGAGGGGTGAAGGGAAGGGGGTGACTTCAATCAGGCGACTGTGGGAGAATGTGTCCCTTCACGTCTTACCCTTCTCCTACCTCACCTTTCTCCTCCCCTTCGCAGGCTGCACAGCCACAGTGCGGTTCTGCGATCACTTCCCCGCCACCGTCAACACGCCCCGGGAGGCACAGGAGGCGGCAGCAGCGTCATCACGTGCCCCACCCTTGCTTCTCTCTCCACTCCTCTCCTAATCTCCTTGCCTTCCCCCTCCTCCCCATCCCAGGTTGCACGGCCACAGTGCGGTTCTGCGATCACTTCCCTGCCACCGTCAACACTCCCCGGGAGGCACAGGAAGCGGCAGCAGCGGCACGGGCAGTGGTGGGGGAGGCACTTGTGGACCTGGACTCGCGCGCGCCCTCCATGGGCGCTGAGGACTTTGGATACATATTGGAGCGAGTGCCCGGTGAGGGGAGGGCAGGGAGAGGAGAAGGGTTGGGGGGGCAGGGAGAGGAGAAGGGTTGGGGGGGCAGGTAGCATGGATGGGGCACAACACCGGCCAGGCCAGTACAGTGGTGGGAACAACACTGGTGGATCTGGACTCGCGCGCGCCCTCCATGGGTGCCGATGACTTTGGATACATTCTGGAGCGAGTGCCGGGTGAGGAGAGGGTGTGGGGGGAAGAGGTAGAGGGCAGGAGGGACCAGGGGCAGGGCTGTGATATGCAGCACCGGTGGATTTGGAGTCGCGCGCTCCCTGGGCGCCCTCCATGGTGACTGTGGACTTTGGATACATTCTGGAGAGAGTGGCGGGTGAGGAGAGGAGAAGCGGGGAGGAAATGTTGGGGGAGGGGGGAGGTGGAGGAAGAGGAGTGTGAGACGTCTCATGGCTCTCCTTCCATGGGCGCTGAGGATACATCCTCGAGAGAGTGCCGAGTGAGGAGAGTGTGGGGAGGCGCCAGGTTGGGGGGTGGAGGTGAGGCAGCATAGTTCTTGCTTGTACCAACTCTGGTCCTGGGTTACTGGTGTTGGTAACCCCTGTGCAATATGCACTATCCGAGTGTGCTGTCCCTCTCTTTCCCTCCTGTTTCCTGTCAGGCTGTTACCTCTGGATTGGCAACGGCCCCACGGAAGGAGGCTGCATGCTGCACAACCCCTTGTGAGTGGTCACAGGTGTTGCCTTGCGTGTGGTGGGAAATTGAACGCGAGCAATGTAGGCTGTTTGCTGGTAAAATCTCCACTCTAAATGAGCGAGTCTCTTATATTCGAGTGTGCTATGTTCTTGAACGTGCCTTTTTTGTTCTTGTATGTACTCAGTTTTGCCGTACCGTATTCAATCCCTTGCCATTCCTGTGGTTCCGCCGCGCAGGTACGATTTCAATGACGACATTCTTGCACTCGGAGCGAGCTACTGGGTACAGCTGGTTGTCAACGCCCTGCCGCCCAGACAATGATTCTAGAGATAAAATTGGATTAGTCCAGCAGGTGACATTTCTTTTTAGTGTATCAAATAGTGTTATCGTCATTATGGCTTGTGTGTCGTGGTTTCAGAACACGGGCCACTCAGAAACGCGTACACCGGGACTGATAAACAGAAACCACTTAAACCGATACGCATTCGGCCTCACCCAACCAAACCGGCTACTTGGTGCGTGCGATTGCGAGGGCGTGAGATGTATGTTCCGTACACGAGCCTCGTAACCTCGTCTCCCCGCAGAGAATCTACGTGACGTGACCTTCCCACGTTCGCGGGCCGCCATGGCCTCTCAGTTAGCCTGGCGGGCGGCTGCCACGTCAGCTCGTCGCGGCTTGAGAGAAGGCCAGCGTATCGTGGCTTCGATGACGTCATCTTCTCTTGTTCCTGCTGTGAGCGACGTCACTTCCGGATCTCCGCGTACCTCGAGAGTATCTGGACCGTCCGATCACATCGATCTGTCCCCGTTACAAACCGTTGATCAAACCCTTCAGTCCCCAACGCCATCAATCATGCTGACGTCATCCGTTCCGCTCCGCCATCCCCTTACCGGTTCCATCTCCACGCGCATCCCTTGCGCTGATGCGATCGGTGGCTTCAGGGCGCTCAGATTGCTGCCACGTGGCGCTGGTGAGGGCAATGACTGGTTACCTTGAACCCCCCTCCCCGCTCTGAGCCCCTCCCCGCTCTGAGCCCCTCCCCGCTCTGAGCCCCTCCCCGCTCTGAGCCCCTCCCCGCTCTGAGCCCCTCCCCGCTCTGAGCCCCTCCCCGCTCTGAGCCCCTCCCCGCTCTGAGCCCCTCCCCGCTCTGAGCCCCTCCCCGCTCTGAGCCCCTCCCCGCTCTGAGCCCCTCCCCGCTCTGAGCCCCTCCCCGCTCTGAGCCCCTCCCCGCTCTGAGCCCCTCCCCGCTCTGAGCCCCTCCCCGCTCTCAGCCCCTCCCCGTTCTCTGCGCCTCCCCGCTCTCAGCCGCTCCCCTCTCTCAGCGCGTTCACTACTCGCATTGTCGCACCGCGCGTCTTCTAAGCAGCCACTCTCCCTTCCCGACCCTCCCCATCTCCGCCCGTCTCCGCCCCTCCCCATCCCTCTCCGCGCCTCTCTTCTCATTCAACCATGACTCCCCCTCTCCGCCCTCTCCCTCCCTCCCGTTGCAGCGTCGTTCCACTCCGCCGCGCTCCCAGCCGCAGCAGCCGCTGACGCGGATCAAAACGCGGGCGGCGGTGGCGGCGGAACGGGGGGAGGCGGAGCGGAAGGGGGAGGCGGAGGAGAGGGGCGGAAGGAAGAGGACGGGGAGTGGCGGCAGTGGATTCAGCAAGCGCTCTCAAGTGAGTGCTGCTGACACGTGGCAGCGTCTCACAGGCTGAACTCATTGCATCGTCGCACTTTAGGCTCGAACTATTCCTGGTACTATTGCCAGCAGCTTCACTCTCTAGGCTATAGTAGACAGAAGGTCTAGGTTGATATTGCCAGGCACACCTGGTTGCAAGAATTTTTTTTCTTTGCTGGACCCTTGCCTTACCACGTGGCACTCACCAGGGCGTGTGGCTTACACGTGTGCTGCGTGTGTGCTGAACGTGTGTGTGTGTGCCTGGTTGGCCGGCAGAGGACGGTGAAGGGGGAGGCAAGGAGGGGCGCGAGCAGCAGGCACGCATGGCAGTAGGTGGGTGGGTGGTCCGTCACACAGCACCTCCCCTCTGCCTCTCCTTGTGTCGTCAGTCCATTTCACTTTGCCCATGCGCTCTTCTCTTCCCCTTGCCGCCGCGTCTCTCCGTGTATGAAGAAGTGTTTTGAGACGTCTCAAAGCACCTCCCCTCTGCCTCTGGTTGTGTCTCTCCGTCCATCTCTCCATGTCTTCCCCCCCGTCCCCATCCCCGTCCCTCCGTGCAGCCAAGCTGCAATCAACCGCGGCCCAGTCCCCCTCTTCCTCCCCTCCCCCCCGCCCTCCCCCCCAACGCTTCTCCGCTCGCTCTTCCGCTCCCCCTTCCTTCTCCTCCTCCCCCCCTTCATTCTCTTCCCAAGATTTCGATGAGTTAGAAGCGTTGATAGGGCCTGATGAGGAGGAAGAGGAGGAGGAGAGGAGCGGAGGGAGGAGAGGAGGGGAAGGGAGCAGGGGAGGGATGAGAGTGGGAGGGGACGGAGGGAGAGGAGGGGTAGGAGTAGAAGGGGAAGGGGAAGGGGGCCATGGAAGAGGCGGGCGCGCACGGGGATACGGAGGGCGGAGTGGGGAGCGGAGGAGCTGGGGAGAGGGGGAGGAGTGGGGGGGACGGGCAAGAGGAAGCGGGGAAGGGGCAAGGGGGAGGTATGGGGGAGGGGGAGAAGCGGGGGGGGGAGCCGGAGGGGTGGGCAGCTGGGGGGGCGGGGGCGGGGGGATGGGCGGGGGGATGGGCGGGGGGGCGTGGCAGGGGGTGGCGGAGGTAGAGGCGGAGATGGTTCTATCAGACCGTGCAATGAGAGCAGTGAGAGAGGTGGATCTGGAGGAGGGCGAGGCTACCTTCCAGTTCCGCCCCGACCGCACGTACTACCCTGGGCAGACCTACTCCGCTGAGGTGAGCACGTGAGCACGCTGGATGTACTCCACTCAGAGGGCATGCGAGCACCCCACAAGTGAGGCCAAAGTTCACAACGCACTACCAGGGGTTGGGGGAGGTAGAGGCGGAGATGGTGCTATCAGACCGGGCCATGCGGGTGGTGAGGGAGGTGTACCTGGGGGAGGGCGAAGCTACCTTCCAATTCCGCCTTGATGGCACGTACTACCCTGGGCAGACCTACTCCGCCGAGGTGGAGGGTCTGTTTGTAAGGCGCCTCAAACACTGAGCAGACGTACTCCGGTTAGGTAGGTGGGACAGGGGACATTGGGAAGCGGAGATGGTGCTATCAGACAGGGCCATGCGGGCGGTGAGGGAGGTGGATCTGGAGGAGGGCGAAACCACCTGCCAATTCCGCCCTGATTGCACCTACTACCTGGGACCGACGTACTCCGCTGAGGTGAGAACAGTGCGCTGAGAGGGCATTCAGGCATACTCTGAGGACTTAAGGCCCAGGTAGACTAGAGGTTCGGGGGTTGGATCTGCGGGTGCCTCAAAACTCAGAGGCTTGTAGTTCTGCTCCGATCGCACCCACTACCCCGCTCAGACTTACTCCGCTGACATGGCCAGCCGCTGACATGGGCAGACAGTGCAGTGCAGTGCTGGACGTATCCCAGCCTCTCCGTGAGGGCCCGGGGCACGCATGGCTGATGGCTGTATCAAGCATGCCATGTGCTCTGCTGCCTCTCTTGGTCGCCTCACTCTGTCGCCTCTCCCTATGCTGCTGTGCCGTGTATTTCTCTCTCGTGCCTGGCAGGAGCTGGACATATCCCAGCCCCTCCCTGACGGCCCGGGGGAAACGCTCGTTTCTTATGAGTGTATCCAGCTTGGCATGTGTTTTATGGTCTCTCTCTCTCCGCTCTCTGTTTCCCTCTTGTGGCTGGCAGGAGCTGGACATATCCCAGCCCCTTCTGGATGGCCCGGGGGGCATGCATTGCTTATGAGTGTTTTAAGCCTGGAATGTGCCTCATGGTCCCTCTCTGTTCTCTCTCTGCTCTTTCTCTCTCGTGCCTGGCAGGAGCTGGACATATCCCAGCCCCTTCCCGACGGCCCGGGGGAAACGCGGCGCAAGCTGCCCACCCCCACCACCAAGGAGGCCCTGCGCGCTGCTGACTTCCGGGTGAGATGGGGGGGGGGGGGGGGGAGGGAGTGGGTGATGGGGCACAGGAGGGAGTAGGCGAGGGGCACAGGGGAGAGTTAGGGGGGACTTGCACAGGGAGGGAGTGGGCGATGGGAACCCGAGCGGGGAGTGGGCAATGGGGGGAAGGAAGAAATGGGAGCGAAGTTGGATTGAAGGACATAAGGATGGGAACCAAGGCAGCATCTTTGCAGCAGACAGGGATATGGAGGAGGGAAATAGTTAGCAGGCAGGGTCAGTAGGTAGGTACATGTGCTTGCTGGCACTTCGAGAGGCTGCCCTGCCTGCAAATTGTTTCCGTCTTCCGTTACATTCTATGCCCCTCCCTGTCCTCCCCTCCAGAACGTGCGCTTCCTGTCACAATTCATCTCTGAAACTGGCAAGATTAAACCCAGAAACAAGGTGAGCTTACTCTCTCACTCCCCATGTGAGGTACGTACCAGAGTGCAATGCCCTACCAGTATGTGCTTCCTGCTTATCCTCCAAGAGGCCAGCCTGCTGCCTGTTTATCGTCCTCACTCTCACTCCTTGTGGCTGCTTTTCCTCCACACTATGCCAACAAGCGCACTCGCATCTGTTCCGCCTCCTCCACTCCTCATGCCATGCCGCCATCTTTCACTCTCCCTGGACTGCGTGCCGTACCATCCCTGCAGACTCGTCTGTCTGCCAAGGCGCAGCGTCGCGTGGCTCGGGAGATCCGAACCGCCCGGGTGTTTGGGCTCATGCCGTTCACGCAGGCAGGCCGGCCGCCGTTTAGGTTCGGCAAGGACCCGAACCTGGAGTCAGGGGAGCTGGAGCAGGAGGAACTTGAGCTGGCAGCTGCTGTGGAGGATGTGAAGGAGCTCAAGGCCATGGCCGGGAGATAGGTAGCTTGCTCAGGGCTAGTTGGAGGCTAGAGCTGGAGAGTGAGTGCTTTCATTAGGCACATCGGCGGATGGTTGTGATATAACTACTCTACCATAATATTTGCCCAGGTTAAAAATCATCAGCATATGGCCTTTTCAACTAAGCTAGTGGATATTTCAACACCAGGTGCTGTGAGTGGAAGATACATATTAAACGCCTAGCTACTCTGATTACCTACTTCCCTTTCACATCCTTGTGCATGGCCGTCCCAACATCATCAGTATCTGAGGTTGACACCTGAATGTTGCCCGTTGAGCCTCATCTTTGACATCTCATACGCCGCTGCATCCGCTGCACTGCTCCCGTAACTCCCCCCATCGCCCGCCCCCCGTTGCACCACATTAGGCTGCAACCCACTCAACGGCAGATGCTGCTGCTCTGGCACCGACATGGCGGGCACTGCCCTGGAAGGCCATCTCATGCCTCCTGCAGCACCTGCTTCCGGCACGGAGGCAGCAGCGCCTGCTTCAAGCACAGAGGCATCGAAGGTGGCAAAGGTGCCGCCACGCGCTACGTGCTCTCGCACGCAGAGGATGCCCATTTGGAGGTACTCCCTCATTGTCTCGCTGATGCTGGATAGCCGCGCAAACACGTCAATCTGTGATGTGGGAGGGTGAAGAGGGGAGCACATGAGAGGGGGAGCGCATGAGGGGGAGCGCAGGAGAGGGGGGGCACATGAGAGGGGGAGCGCACGGAGGATGCCCATCTGCAGGTACTCCCTCATCGTCTCACTGATGCTGGACATCCGCGCAAACACGTCAATCTGCGGCATGGGATGTCGTATCAGGGGGAGCGCATGAGGGAGGGCCCATGAGGGGGAGCACTTGAGGGGGGGAGCCGAGGGAACGAGAGGGACAGGAGTTGATTGGACCAACGAGTTGGCCAGTAAATGCAGGGAGGGAGCTCAAGCATGGATAGGCATAGAAAACCACATGTTTGGAGGTCCGAGTCGTTGGAAGTGATTCGAAAAACAGTATTGTGGGCATCAGCAAGCACTCAAGGATGTGGGCTTACCCCAGGGTGAGACTGCATGTAGTAGTGCAGCTCGAAAAGGCTGACTGCCCCTTGCTTGCGATCCACTATCTTGCGCACTATGCTCTGCAACTCGTCCTGATCACATGCAGTGGAGACAAGGGGGAGAGTAGGAGTGACAGGGTGAGAGTGGGAGAGACAGGAGAAGAGTAGAATTGAGCAGGGGAGACAGGGGATGGAATGAGCGTCGTCTAGCAAGCAGAAACAGGGCTGAGCGGAACCAGCACACAGAGATTTCTTAATCCAAGTACAGCCCATCAGCTCGCATGACTTCACGCAGTCACAAAACCACCAAGGGCTCACCTGGTCAGGCAGCGAGGAGTCATCAGGCACTGCAGCGGCGTCCGCATCAGCGGCGGAGGAGCGTTCGAGCACCTGCTGGAGCACGAGGTCGACCTGCTGCAGAATGAACGGCTGCGGTGTCTCGTCGATGGGGATCAGCGACAGGTGCCCCTTGATGGCCGGCCCCTTGGCTGCCACCGCCTCCGCCAGAATCTTGCGGAACATGGATAGTGTGCGCTCATCCGTGGTCACTCTGGTGGGGAGATGAGAATAAGGGGGGAGAGGAGGAAGAGGGTTCTTGAGGCGCCTAAAAAGTCAGCTGCCACCGCCTTTGCCAAGTTGTAGCGGATTATGGACATCATGCGCTTGTCCATGGTCACTCTGGGGGGGCAGCGAGCGAGGGGAGGAGGGAAAGGGGGATATACCAGTAGAGAAGAGCGTAGTCAGGGGTGTGCACTGACAGCAGCAGCAAGAGCAGGTGGCTTGAGTGACGCTGTGAGCGTGGCATGGCACCTGGCTGCATTGTGCTCACATCACATCACATCACATCACATCACATCACATCACATGGTGCTGGCAGGGCTGGCTGGCTCACCTCCTGCGGAGCTCGGCGTGGGAGAAGTCGCTGAAGTACTGGTGGATGCCAAACAGCAGGCGGTCAAAGTCCATGTCCGCCACGTACCCACTGAAGTTCTGCACCCACGGAGCAAAGGTGGTACGCATGAAGCGACGGAGGTATTGGTGGTTCATTCGGGCGATGTGTCCAGTATGAACGGGAAAATGTTTCTCAAAGAGAGATGGCAATGATGGAAGAAGGCGACAATTTCGGGCAGGATTGGATTCAAGCGGACATTCAGTATGGTACACCTTGCACATGCGCAGGAGGCACTTGACGATGAGTGCGGCGAGCGGCGTGCCATCGGGGCCCTTGACATCCGCAGCGGTGGAGCCCTTGATGGTGTAGGTGGGGCGCAGAATGGTCATGAAGGAGAGGAAGAGCGGCGTGGACGGCGCGGTGTCCAGGATCTTGAGCAGCAGGATGTTCACGGCGCGGCACAGGTCCGCGGACGAGTCGTCTGGGTTGCGCTGCTTGACGCGCTCGTGCAGCATGAAGATTGTCATGTCCTCCAGCAGCAGCCGTAGGTCGTCATCGGGGATCTGCATGCTCAACGACTTGGTCTCAAACAGCTGCATGGATGGGGTGTGGGGGGGTGGAGAGGGGTTAGAAGGCTCCTCCAGTGCTGCTTGACGCGCTCGTGCAGCATGAAGATTGTCATGTCCTTCAGCAGCAAGCGGAGATCGTTGTCAGGGATTTGCATGCTCAACGACTTGGTCTCAAAGAGCTGCATGAGGGGTAGAATCGTATGGAGAGGGGGGTGAGTGGGCCTTGGGGATGGGCGAGGCAGAACGGCATGCAGCTGCAGGAAGGCAGAAGAGGAGGCATCAGCAGGTGTCAGACGAGGAAGCGAGGGGATCCAGGAGGAGGGTGCTTGGAGGATGTAGTTTGGAAAAGGGAGTGCTTTGCATTCGCTGCAGGCCTGCTAATTTCAATGCACAGTTGAAGGTCAAACAGGGACGGCCAGGGTGGCAGGCTAGGGCAGGGCGTACCGTGAGCAGGGAGTTGAGGATGTACTTGTAGGTCTTGACCTGTGCGTCGGGAACAGAGCGCACAAAGAACTGCACAAACTGCGTAGTGCAGGTGAGTGGGGCAGAGGGGCATGGGGCAAAAGGGGAAGGCCAGATTTTGTATGCGTAACAAAACCGTTTTCCGATGCTTCAAACGGTGCACACATAAGCATGCAAAGGAAAATTCTTTCGATAACACCTGCTACCAGAGCAACCAAGCACATCCATGACCGCCCTGTATCCATTGCCATACCTGGAAGCGCAGCATCTTGATGTAGCGCGGCATATGCTCGCGGAACACCGCGAGCACGCGGGGGTCCTCCTCCGTGATGCCCCTTCGCATCTCATGGAACAGGTACTTGAGCCCCTCCACCACCCTCTCCGGCGCCGCTTCTCGGTCAATGAACAGAATGGCCTCAAAGAACGACTCCGGCCCCGGGTGCGCTGACTGTGACGAGTGTGCATAGGCCTGGCTGTCTGTGGCGCGGTGGCGGGTCATGGCCGCCATGTGGTTTGGGGGAGTTACCATGGGCTCTGTTGCTCTGTGCGGCATGCCTGGGGGCATGCCTGGAACCATGCCTGCTCCATTGCCGTATGCGGGCTGCTGGTAGTGCATGGGCGCTGCTGCTAGTGGCTGGGCCGCTTCTGCCATGTGCATCCTCGTGGCCCTGGGAGTGAAACAAAGAACCAGGAAAAGCAACAACAGTTTCTTTAACCACACCAGAGAGCACGCAGCAGGTTGGACGAGGAGGACGACTGGATAGCAGCGACGAAGAGCAGCCAACAGTAACGACATGCTCAGAGGAAGAAGGTGAATGTAACAGGTGAAGGGGGCATAGCCTTACAAGGGCAGGGCTCCGATGGGTACTGGTGCCTCCATGCCTGCTGCCGCTCCTCCTGACATGCGCCTGCCCCTCTGCTGCCCCGGTGTTCCCTCCCTGCGCTTCTCCATCTCTCTCGCCTGCTCACACGTACGCAAAGGCAACGGGGTAGACGGCCACAATGGTGGGGGAGAAACGTTTGCACAGAAGGCTCGCTGGCATTCGAGCCACGGAGACAGAAGCAGGAAGCAAATTGCAAGTGAAATGTAGCGTTCTTTTAAGATAGATGCAGATGGCGTGGTGGAAGGCAGAAAGCAAGGGCCCTGAAGAAGAGGGAAAGGATTGAAGGAAGGAGTGAGGGAAGGAGGGAGAAAAGCATACCTTCCACTTGAGCTTGTCTTCAATGAGCCCTCTCTGTGCATCGGTGAGTTTCCCCAGCAGGCGCCAGATGTCATCTCCCAGCACCACATACACGGACGCCAGCATGCTCAGCGCCGCCTTGCGCAGCTCCGTGTCTCGCTCCGTTGTCAGCGCCGCCACCGTCACCAGCGGTACCCGCGAACTGCCCATCGTCTGCACACATGGTCGGCACATGAGGGAGCATGGGATCATGGGAGCATGGGAAGATTGGAGCATGGGAGCATGAAAACATTGGAGCATGGGAGAATGGGAGCATTGGAGCACGCAGGCATTGGAGCATGGGAGAACAGATGAGAGGGACAGGCGGGCGGGAACAAGCATCTCACCTCAATGCCATGCCTCTCCAGCATGGCTTCCATGTGCTCGACGCACTCAATGCGAGTGCGGTTGTTTTTGGAGCGCAGCCCCTCCACCACCGCCTGGAACACGCGCGTCGCCGGGAACACCAGCGGCAGCGACCGCATGAGCTCCCGCATCTTCTCCCGTATGTTGGCTATGTTGTGCCCCGACTGGTGGGACACGTGGTGGTGCAGGTGGTCGTGGTGGGGGAAAAAATGAGTACAAGCGGTAGACAGGGTAGTCAATTGACATGACATGCCCAAGGGCTGAAAATGCGTCCAGACTCTGAGAAGGCGAGGACTGAGAACTAAACCCTTGCACGAGGGGCCTGTGTGCTCAGCATGTGCGTACCTTTTCAACAAGGCAGGGAAGCAGGATTTTGGCCTCGTATTCGGTGAGGATGTAGCCCTCTATGGTGAGCACTTGCATGAGGTCCGTGA